CAAATCAAAGCAGGAGAAATATTGTAACAATTCTTATGACAGGCCTTGAAGTTTAAATTGTCCACCAGGACCACTGAGGGTTTCTTCACATCAAAGAGTAGAGGGTGCCAGGATGTGCACAGTACAGAGCCCGCACAGCTGTGTGCTTTCTTTTCCTTACTTTCGGTAAGTATGTACAGTGACATGGGTCTGAGTGCAGTTCTAGTACCTTTAAACTTAACATCTCTCCCTCAGTGCTAATTGTTGTCCAGAATCAAAACTAGACCTGGACATTTCAAAGTAATGTTAACTCATTTGCATAGACCTCAGTGTCATCTCTGGGCAGGAAGGTGAAATATCAGAAAAGATTGATAAGATTTGCAATTTTGTCATGAAGAGGTAGAGGGGTTTTAGAAAAGAGATGAAACTGGATTGTGCAAATTTATATTTTGCCTATCTCTTCTTGTTGCAACTACACACGATATAGTTACCCATAAGTGAGTCGGTACCTTGCACACATTGGAAATGAATTTTCACAGGGCGGCTGCAGTGGCGCGGCGGCGCCTCCGGGTGCCGCTGTTGGCCGCCGCCGAGCGGCGCTGGAGCCGCCGCCGCCGCCGCCGCAGCGTCCTGCCCCCGCAGGCTGCTCGCTCGCCCGGCGCCGGCCGCAACGGCAGCGGCACCGCCACCGGCAGCAGCAGCGGCGGCGGCGGCGGCGGGGAGAGGCGGCCCGAGCGGGCTGGCTGCGCTGCGGCGGCCCCTGCGCTGCGTGGCGAGAGCGGCTGGAAGGGAAGCGGGGCAGCGGCAGGAGGCAGGAGCGCGGCGAGCGCCGGCGGCAGAGAATGGCGGTGAGGCGGCGGCAGAGGCGCGGGCCGGGCGGCGGGCGAGCGCTGCTGGCCGCGGTGCTGCTGTGCGTGTGCTGCCGGGCGGCGGCCGAGCGGCTCCGCTACGCCATCCCTGAGGAGCTGGGCAGAGGCTCGCTCGTGGGGCCGCTGGCGCGGGACCTGGGGCTCAGCGCGGACGAGCTGCCGGCGCGCAAGCTGCGGCTGAGCGAGGAGAAGCAATACTTCACGGTGAGTGAGGAGAACGGGAACCTGTACGTGAACGAGAGGCTGGACCGGGAGGAGATGTGCAGCGCGTCGCCGACCTGTTCCGTCAGCTTCGAGGCGCTGGTGCAAAACCCACTGAACATTTTCCACGTTGAGGTGGCGATCGAGGACGTGAATGACAACTCCCCGATCTTCAGCAAGGCCGTTTTGGACCTCGAGATTGGTGAATGGGTCTCTCCTGGTGCTCGTTTTCCTCTGGAGATGGCCCGAGATGAGGACGCTGGAAGTAACTCGCTGCTGACTTATCAGCTCGCCAGCAACCCTTCCTTCTCCCTGGCCATGAAGGAGAGCCCTGAAGGAGGCAAGCAGCCGGAATTAGTGCTGGAGAAAGCGTTGGACCGGGAGAAGCAGAGCTCCATTGAACTGGTGCTGACAGCAGTGGATAGCGGGGAGCCTGCAAGGTCCGGGACTGTCCAGGTTCGCATAAACGTTACTGACGCCAACGACAACCCACCCGTGTTCAGCAAAAGCCTCTATGAGGCGAGAGTAGCGGAGAATCTATCAGTGGGGTCTCTGGTGATGCGAGTATGGGCGACAGATGGTGACATGGGCTCCAATGGGCGGGTCACCTACGCATTCAGCAACGTTCCAGACAGCATACGTTCTTTGTTCACTCTGGACAGCAACAATGGCGAGGTCAGGACAGTGGGTCCCCTCGATTTCGAGGAGAAGAATAAATATGTCTTTGGTCTGGAAGCCATGGACGGAGGCGGGTTAACGGCTCACTGCAAGGTCCAAATAGATATCACGGACGAGAACGACAACGCCCCGGAAATAGCGATTCTGTCGCTGTCGAGCCCGGTGCCCGAGGACGCGCCTGCCGGTACTGTGGTAGCCCTGCTGAAAGTGCGGGACAGAGACTCCGGCGAGAACGGTCAGGTGTCGTGCGAGCTGTCGGGAGAGGCGCCGCTGTCGATCGTGGCATCCTCGGGCGGCTCGTACAAGGTGGTGACATCGGGCACGCTGGACCGAGAGCAGGCGTCCGAGCACCGCGTGACGGTGGTGGCCCGGGACCGGGGCAGGCCGGCGCTGTGGAGCAGCAGGGAGCTGGCGCTGGAGGTGTCGGACGTGAACGACAACGCGCCGGTGTTCGAGGAGGCGGCGTACAGCGCGTACGTGGCGGAGAACAACGCGGCGGGCGCGCTGGTGCTGCGCGTGCAGGCGCGGGACGCGGACGCGGGCGCCAACGGGCGCGTGAGCTACTGGCTGGCGGGCGGCAGCGCGGGCGCGGCGGGCGCGGCGCCGCTCGTGTCGGTGGAGGCGCGGAGCGGCGCGCTGTACGCGCAGCGCTCCTTGGACTACGAGCAGTGCCGCGAGTTCACGCTGGCGGTGCGGGCGCAGGACGGCGGCTCGCCGGCGCGCAGCTCCACGGCCACGGTGCGCGTCTTCGTGCTGGACCGCAACGACAACGCGCCCCGGGTGCTGTGGCCGGCGGCGGCGGCGGCGGGCGAGGCTGCGGCAGGGGCGGCGCCTCCTTTCGAGGTGGTGCCGCGTTCGGCCGAGGCCGGCTACCTGGTGGCCAAGGTGGTGGCGGTGGACGCGGACGCGGGGCGCAACGCGTGGCTGTCGTACGAGCTGGTGCAGGCGTCGGAGCCGGCGCTGTTCCGCGTGGGGCTGCACAGCGGCGAGGTGCGCACGGCGCGGGCCGTGTCCGAGCGGGACGCGGCCAAGCAGCGAGTGGTGGCCGTGGTGAAGGACCACGGGCAGCCGGCGCTGTCCGCCACGGCCACGCTGCACGTGGTGCTGGCCGAGAGCTTGCAGGAGGCGCTGCCGGAGCTGAGCGAGCGGGCGCCGGGCGCCGAGGAGGCGGCGGCGGCGGCCGAGCTGCAGTTCTACCTGGTGCTGGCGCTGGCGCTGCTCTCGGCGCTCTTGGTGCTGAGCGTGGCGCTGGCCGTGCTGGCGCGGCTGCGCCGGGCCGGGCCGCCCGCCGTGCTGCGCTGCCTGGGCGCGCAGCGCTTCTCGGTGGCCGGCGCCGCCTTCCCGGCCGACTTCTGCGAGGGCACCTTGCCCTACTCCTACAACCTGTGCGTGGCGGCGCCGGCCCGCGCCGTGCCCGAGGCCGCTTGGCCGCTGCCGCCGCCGGTGCCCGTCCTGTCGGCGGAGGAGCTTCTGGGCGGGGATTCCTGCGAGAAGCCGAGCCCGAGAAGCAACGCCCTCACGGGAGAGCCTCCCGCTAATCCCGGTGCACCGCAGGTGTGTATTGCTGCGCGCTTGTTCTGTTATTGAGGCTTTCCTATAATCTTCCTTTCTCCGCTCGTTTTCTCCGCATGTTGTCCATGAGAAATCCTCATTAGAATCTCCATTTTGCCGCGGAAAATTGTGGTCTTTCCTTGGTATCGGCTTACGTTTCAGCCGAGGTGTTTTGACTATAACTCTCTTTTTAACTTGAAGCAGTGTTCCCTTGTTTCCTGGGGTTATATTGTTCTGGGAAGCACACATCTGTCTACATGAATTAAGGAAATTAATTGAGAAGCTGAATTAAGGAAAGGTCTATCCCCCTTCCATGGAAAGCAGGAGGCTAGCAGTAGCACCTGCTTCTTCCTTGGTAAGAGGGTGAAATTCAGTGAAAGACGTTTTGTCTTCAAAACTCACGCTCTTTAAATTAAAATGGATTTCCATCATTGAACTTGGTTTCTTACTGTTTAGGAGACCCACTGATTCTGTGCGATGGAATTGGAGAGAAAGAAAATCCACAGACAAATTATGTTGTAGATATTTTCCTGATTTTATTCAGGAAGAGTGAATTTGAAACTTGTCCATAGCTTTACACAAATCCGTTTATGAATGGTTGGGTTTTTCTGTTTAGTTTGATGGGGTTTTTTTGCCTATTGGACTCAGAAAGGAAAGGTGTTTAGCGTGTTATGTTCTGCATCTTGAGTGAAAGAAAAGAATGTCCCACGTTTTGGGGGCGAGAGCGTAATGCCATAGTGGGACGTCTTCCTTTTTGCATCCTGGCTGGCAGTTCTCTGTTGTACTCTTCATGATATTTATTTCATACAGAGGTGAAGGTGCAAAAAGGTTTGTTTCAGATGTTTTTCATTTTCCTTTCGTCTTTACCCTAGGAGTTTGAGTTTTATGGAGATGTCGGGGTTTTGGAGAACAGTAGTTTTTTCCACTTCTGATTTTTACAAGGCTAGACATCTGAGAGTATCAAGTATCAAGGAGATTAGCCAAATGACACTTCAGGCATGTGAATCAAACTCATTTGTACAATTTTCGTGGGTCAGCAGAGATTCGAGTGCGTAACTGTACTCTTCTTCTACTGTTCTACAAACTTTCCTTGTTAATATTGTACAAATCTGATTAAGAAACCTGTTTCCTGATATACTTTCTTAGTACACTTCAATGCTTTGCAGGTTGATTCCTTATAAATTCTTTTTCCTGTGGCTATAGAATTACTTGATGCGGTGTAAATGTGTAAAAAGTAAGGAAACACTAAATTTAACAGACGATCTTGATTCCGTCAAGTTTTCCTTTGAGAATAATAGCTACATCTTTATTTCTACCTGTAATAATCATATGACAATTAGGTCACTGACTTCAAGAAGCATGTAGTTGTTCTCGTCCCGCTTATGTTAATGAGCCTGATAGCTCAGGTTATCGGTGTGTGTGGGCGTGTATCAAACGTTTTCAATCTCACACCCCGTTGCTGAAGAAGTTTTTCAACAAACAGGGTAAGACTAATGGTAATCTAGAGCTTGAAATGGGAAAAAATATGCTTTAATTTACATATATTGCCATTAGTAACTTATGAGTACCCCCTGCGACTGAAGCAGCACGCCCACGGAATGCCTCGACATTCCTCCCGATGGTGATCCCCTGAAGGACCAAAGCAGAGATCAGCTGGAGAAAAGGCGGTGCAGGAGGTCACCACTGCACGGGAAAATTGTCTCCGTGGCAAATATCCCGTCCCCGCGAGCTGCCCGTGGGCAGAGCGGGCAGCGCTCGGCAGCGCTCGGTGCGTGCAGTGCCGGGAGGAGGCTGCGGGCGCCGCTGTTGACCGAGAGGAGCGAGCGGGAGCTCGGAGCGCTGCAGCCCCGCCCGCTGCGGATCCGCTCGATCACTCGCTCGCCGGATTCGTGGCCCGGCGGGAGGACGGTCTGTGATCATCCCCGCGGTACGGAACCGTGCTGCAGCGAGCGGAGGGACTGCGGCGGCGGAGCGGCCGGGAGCGGCGAGCTGGGGAAGGACAGTGAGGCAGATCGGCGGTCGGCGGTGGGGCGCTGCTCGGGTTGTTGTGGTGCCGCAGCGGAGATGTGCTCGGCGGGGAGGCGCTGGGGCCGGCGGCAGCGAGCTCTGCTCTGGGCCGTGCTGCTGGCAGCGTGGGAGGCGGCGTGGGGGCAGCTGCGCTACTCCGTGCCCGAGGAGATGCCCAAGGGCTCGTTCGTGGGGGACGTGGCCAAGGACCTGGGACTGCAGCTGCCGGAGATCAGCGATCGTGGCGTCCGAGTGGTTTCCCAAGGTAGGACGCAGTATTTTGCTCTGCACGGGAAGACGGGACATTTAGTGACGGCGGAGAAGATCGACAGAGAGCAGCTGTGCCAGCGTGTGCAGCAATGCGTGCTGCGCTGTGAGCTTATAGTGGAGGGGGAAATGAAATTCTATGAAATAGAAGTGGAGATTGCGGATGTAAATGACAACGCACCCAGCTTTCAAGAGGCAGAAACAGAGCTGAGAATGAGCGAGACAACACCTCCGGGGTCTCGTTTTTCCTTGGCCGACGCTCACGACCCGGATTCGGGCCGGAATTCCCTGCAGAGTTACGAGCTGAGCGGCGACGAGCACTTCTCGCTGGCCGTGCAGGCAGGTCCCGGCGGCGATCAGCGTCCCGAGCTGGTGCTGGCGAAGGCGCTGGACCGGGAGGAGGCGGCGTTTCACGAGCTGGTGCTGAGGGCGATGGACGGCGGCGATCCGGCACGGACGGGCACGGCTCGGATCCGTGTGACCGTGGTGGACGCGAACGACAACGCGCCGGTGTTCAGCCAGGCGGAGTACACGGTGCGTGTGCCCGAGGACGTGCCCGTGGGCACTGTCCTCGTCACTGTCACGGCCAGTGACGCCGACGAAGGGCTGTACGGACATGTGAAATACACTTTGAAAAAAGTTTCTGACATGGCTTCGACTATCGTCCATTTGGAGTCTGAGACGGGAGCGATCACTCTGCTGAGAAGCCTGGATTTCGAGGAAGGCGATTCCTACGACTTGGAGGTGCAGGCACGGGACGGGGGAGGAATTTTTGATACTGCCAAAGTGACGATCACCGTGACAGACAAAAACGATAATGCGCCGGAGATTTCAGTGAGATCGGCAATAAGTGAAATTTCCGAGGACGCTCCCTCGGGAACGACGGTCGCACTACTCCACGTGCACGACCGTGACTCCGGAGTGAACGGTGATGTGCGCTGCTCGCTCGACAAGGACGTCCCGTTCCGGCTTCAAAGCTCGCAGGGCAATTATTACAGTGTGGTGACAGCGAGAGAGCTGGACCGGGAGCAGGTGTCGGAGTACAACGTGACGGTGCGGGCTGCCGACGGCGGGTCGCCGGCGCTGCAGAGCAGCGCGGTGCTGGCGCTGCGGGTGCTGGACGTGAACGACAACGCGCCAGTGTTCGCGGAGGAGCGCTACAGCGCGCGGCTGTCGGAGAACAACGCGGCGGGCGCGCTGGTGCTGAGGGTGCGCGCCACGGACGCGGACTGGGGGCAGAACGCGCGCGTGCGGTACCGGCTGGCGGAGGGGCGGGTGCGGGGCGCGGCGCTGTCGTCGTACGTGTCGGTGCAGGCGGAGACGGGCGCGCTGTACGCGCTGCGCTCCTTCGACTACGAGCAGCTGCGCGAGCTGCAGCTGTGGGTGCGTGCGGAGGACGGCGGCGCGCCGGCGCTGGGCAGCAACGTGTCGGTGCGGCTGCAGATCGTGGACGAGAACGACAACGCGCCGCAGGTGCTGTACCCGCCGCCGGCTTTAGCGGCGGGCTCGGGCGCTGCGTGGTCGGGCGTGGAGCTGGCGCCGCGCTGGTCGGAGGCCGGCGCGCTGGTGGCCAAGGTGGTGGCGGTGGACGCGGACGCGGGGCAGAACGCGTGGCTGTCGTACGAGCTGGCCAAGGCCACGGAGCCGGGGCTGTTCCGCGTGGGGCTGCACAGCGGCGAGGTGCGCACGGCGCGCTCGCCGCTGGCCCGCGACGCGGCGCGCCAGAGCCTGGTGGTGCTGGTGAAGGACCACGGGCGGCCGGCGCTGTCGGCCACGGCCACGCTGAGCGTGGTGCTGGCCGAGAGCGTGGCCGAGCTGCTGGCCGAGCTGGGCAGCGCGGCCGCCGAGGCGGCGGCGCCGGGCGAGCCGGCCGCCAGCCTGACGCGCTGGCTCGTGCTGGCCGTGGCCGCCGTGTCGTGCCTCTTCGTGGCCTTCCTGCTGCTGCTGCTGGCGCTGCGCCTGCGCCGCTGGCGCCGCCAGCAGCTGCTGCCGGCGGACAGCGGCGCCCTGCGCGGCGTGCCCGTGTCGCACTTCGTGGGCATCGACGGCGTGCGCGCCTTCCTCCAGTCCTACTCGCACGAGGTGTCGCTCACGGCCGACTCGCGCAAGAGCCAGCTGCGCTTCTCGGCCGGCAGCTGCTGCGACACCCTCCCGGCCCGGCCGCCGCCCGACGAGCCCGCGCCGCTGCTCGGCGACGAGGATCCTGCCGGCGCCCTCCCCGCCCATCCCGCCCCTCCCTCGGTGAGTTTCTGTCTCCAGATTTTCCCCGCGACTCTTTCTCTTGATACTCGGCTGCCCTTTCCGCGCCCTGTTCTGTGGCTTCCATCATGTATTTTGCTTAAAAGCAGGGTAAAGTTTCCTTCAGTGAAGTTCTGTAGGCAGGATCCCATTGCGGTTGTCCTGTGAACAAGGGGTGGAGAAGGCAGGAGGGAGAAGGCTGCTGCTGGGAGGATGTTGGTTAGGTTGGAGGTTTGGGTATTGATCAGCTTTCAGGTGTTGTTCCCCTGTATCAGCTGTGCTCTGTAGAATGTGTGTTCCTGCTGGCATTAAATCTTCTGACGGGATGGATCAGAGTATTAAAAAATACAACTTTTTAGGAGGCTCATGTGTTTTCCCAACAGGACGTGTGCTTGAATAGGTTGACTGTGTCTTGAACAAGATGCTGATGGCTTTGTGTGGAACCTTTGTTCTCAGTTTTTATCACTCTCCATAATGCATAGTGGAGGTCAGCAGGAAGTGTTTGTGTCATCCATCCGTTAATCTTTGTCCCCAGCAAAGGATCGGACCGGGCCACAAGTGGTCCTTGATGTTGTGTGTCTGCTTGTTATGGAGATGAAGGATGCTCTTGAGGTTGTGATTCTTTGAAAAGCCTGTGTGGGCTGCATGTGGTGGGGGAAATGGCAGAACTGCTTTGTTTATTTCTTATTTTTCAAGGTAGAGCCAAATCAGATAGAGCTGGGTGAGCCTTTGGTGGAATATATTTAACATGTCAAGAGAATTGACTGGATGGGAAGGGAGAGATTCAAGGTGCAGTGGGACAGACAAGGTGGGCATAATTGCCCATGAGCAGAGACTCACTGGGTCAGTGTGCCTTGGAAGACTGCTCCGTTTTTCCTTTGAGACCTATGAAATCTCGTCACAGGACTTCGGCCAGCTGGCAAATGCAGTTTCCACAGCTCAGAGATTTACAGATAGCTGTGTGGAATTGGTGGTGGGAGGTAAGATGGTCTGGGGAGCTGGGCCTCTGCTGTCACATTTTTTAAAGGTATATGGGTGAAAGGATACCACGGATCGTGTGAAGGGTTGGAAATGTGAGTGCTGTGAGCCGTGCGTGAATGTCTGCTGAAAGACTCAAGGGGATGTTTTCCTCCATTCCCAGTCCTGTTCCTGTCTCTAGGATGAAGCAATGTGGGGTTCTTCTTCCTAAAATAATTGTCTAGAAGATCTGTATTCCAGCTGCATGGAGAACCCTGGGAGCTTCTTCCTATATTGTTTGCATGTCATGATAATTGTGTTACTTCTAAGCTTAATTTTGTACTTGTGACAGATGCCATATGGGAAGTGCAGGCTGTGTATTCAGTGCCTATAAAATACATCATTAATAATCTACTCTGAGTTATATAACCCAGAAGCAAGTTGTGATCTCTTCAATTCTGCAGGTGTTAACTTTGTGTCTCCTTCTTCTGATGATCTGAAGATGGTTCTTTCATGTTTATAGGTGAAAGGAGAGAGATTTCCATAAACATGTTTCTTGAAAATGTCTCTGTAAAAATGTTTTTTCTTGTCCCATGACCAGGGTGGGAAGTCAAATATTATCCATAGTAAGGAGATACTATCTGAGCCACTTTCCTCTTGGTGGAGTCTCTCTAAATTCTGAAGATCTGTGCTAACCATGGGAGCTGTGAAGGGTTAGGATGGAGTGTTGGGGGTGTGGTATATGTGGAGGTCCTGGTGGAGACATGGCATGTGTTTTGTTGATCCTCAGGGCTATTGCTGGTGTTCTGAAATGAGCCAGGAGGAGTCTTATGGTGTTCAATGGTGTGGTTTGGACTGAAATGGCCTAGTGTGGGTTCCATATTCCTTTGCATCAAGAGGCCTTATTTGGGTTCCATATTTCTTTGTGTCTTGTGAGGAGTCCGTGTGCTGATGAATGGTGATGGTGCCTTTGAGGTGATACTTGGATGTGTGGGTCTTTGACAGAGCTGATAAAAATTTATGGCTTATATAATATTTTCCACTTGTTCAAATAATTGGGAGGAACCAAATAACTAAAGTTTTGATGCTTGGGATCTTAGAGGCTGTGCACACAACCTCTATTCTAATGATGTCTGTTTGCAAGTTTGTTTCCATGTTATGTTTGGACAGAGAGAAGAAGTCTGTCTGTCCAGAGACAAGGCCGGTGCTGGAGTTCACTGGGATCTAGTTCAATATGAATGAATGAATTGTGTCCAGTTCTGTTTGTCCTAGCAGTCAGATGAGGCCCAGAGTTGTGTTTCCAAGCTTTTCCTTTCTCTTACTGTGCAAGGAATTGACAGTCTGGGGCCTATGTGGTGAGCTCCTGTGTGAGGCCTCCTGTGTATTAGTTACAGTCCAGTTTGCTGTGTTGTGTGTGGACTGCAAATGACCCAATCTGCAGTGTGAGGCCATGATTGATTCTCTTCTGGCATTTTCCCATTCTTGGCTAGGTTGATTAAGACTTTTAGCGTGCTTGGTTTGGTTTGGGTTGTTTGTTTGTTTGCTTGGTTGTACTTTGGTCAAGAGTAAATTTGATCCTCATTGTGCCTGGCAATCCTGCAAACTCCAAAACATAAAATTATCCAGTATGGAGAGTATCTGATCCATCCCTTGAAGCTGTACATGTATTCATGGAATCCTAGAAACACAGAACCAGAGAATGGTTTGTGTTGCAATGGACCATAAAGATCCTCTGGTTCACGCTCCTCTGCATGGGCAGGGACATCTTCCACCAGGGCAGGTTGCTCAGAGCCCCACCCAGCC